GCAGCAGGGACTGAGGGACTCATTAGAGTAGAAGATGCTTTGTCAGTATGGTGTATGGAGTGTAGATTGATGTGGAAAAAAAGTAATTTAAAGAAGTTTATCGTAAGGCAGCAACATAACAAAATGTGAAAAAAATTAAGGGGTATGAATACTTTCGCAAGGCGCTGTAGCTCTCCATGCCATTAAGCAAACTGCTGCCGCCACAGGGCGAGCAATGGCGGTAATGGTGGCCACGGAGAAACATCTGTGGTTGAACTTAGCGGACATTGGGACGAAAGAGAAAAGCTTTCTTCTTGATGCTCTGCTTTCACCTTCTGGGCTTTTCAGGCACATCTGTTGAGGCAGTGGTCGAGAAGTTTAGAGAAGCAAAGGTGCAATCAGCGGCTTTCAGGAGATACATTCCCCGCCAAACCAGATCTTCTCCTAAAGCCTCTTGAGGGGGTTGGCCCGTCACGATCTGAGGACCGGAGACAGGGCCAAAAAATTAGTGTTGCCACTCATGCCCCTCCCCCTTCCTGGAGTCGAGCACAGAGGAGGGGAGGGGAGACCTCAGAGAGATGATTGACAGGAAGCGCTGCGACCAGCGGTCTAACACCTCTCCTTGATATCCCTCCTGAGTTACACTGCCTCCCCGCTTTTAGGGTTTTAAAGTAGGCAGTCATCCTTTTATATGTGGGTGGTCTCCCCTGATCTCAGGGTATTTTCAAGCAGGCAGTCCCTCGATTCATGCATACTTTGGGCTGTCTCCCCTGCATTAGGGTTTCAAGCAGATGGCCCGTTGTTTCTAAGTACATAGCTGTTTGAGGACAGTTGTGTTCACAACATGGCTGAATGGGATTTCCCTCCCTTATATTAGTGCTGTGCTGGGTTCCCCCATTTCCTCCAAGTTATTTTAGCTCTGAGCATCATTGGCGTGCCCCTTTTAAATCGGTGCATGTTTGCTGCAATTTTTTGGTGCTTTCTCACCAGGTGGTCAGGCAATGCACCTAGGCGTGGCGTAGTGGGTAAAAGTGTCCCCTAGGGGACAGAGTGTGGAGTTCCCTTGAAGGGGAACATCTTGGATTACGCATGTAACCATGGTTCCCCTGAGAGGGAGTGAGACATTGCGCCCCCCTTCAATGCCTTGGGCTTGCCTGTTCACATCTCCTTCAGACAAAGAAGCTGATGGCCTGCATTACAGGTGCACTCTTATACCTCCGGGCACCCCTCTAATGACGTCATGGGCTGCATGGTCCAATTAATTTGGAAGTGTTTTCACACATGCTTCAGACACCAGTCATGCTGATGGCACTCCCCAAAGTGTCCCCTAGGGGGCACAGTGTCTCATTCCCTCTCGGGGAACCATGGTCACATGCATAACCGCAGACGTTTTTCATGAAACCATAGATGCCAATAAAGAACCTATAAACTTTAGTGTATAAAGCATTGTGAACATTTTGCCTAATAATGTGGTTCACAATCAGGGGGCCACAGAAAACTTCCAAGGGGACCTCAGCATGACTTAAAGGTATTCAAAATAATAAATTAGTATTAATATATTAAAATAATCTAACTGTAATCTACATTAAAATGCTTAAAAAAATATTTAAACTAAAATTATATTTGCTTTGCATCCATACAGTTGAAAACTTTTGGAAATGCAAAATTAATCATGGTTATTTTAATTTAACAATACTCCCAGTTCCCGGTAATGACAAATTCTGAAAACAAGCAGCCTTGAGGGGTTGAAATAACATGAGGATGAGTAAATGACGGCATAATTTTCATTTGTGGGTCAACGATTCACTGCAGTTATCCATAATATTGTTGTCTCTTTATAGTTCTGTTGTATTGTTTTCTGCCTTGCTCTCATTGGTTAGTTGAGGAGTAAGCTGACGCCTCAGGAGATTCAGCAGTTTGCTCTGTTTCTGAGAGAATACAGACTTGGTGCTCCAATAGAGCAGTTCTGCACTGACCTTCTGCAGCTCTATGGAGACTCACGCAAGTTCCTGCTGCTTGGTGAGAAACTCGCAACACAGAATACAAAAGTCACCTTAGATTCTCTCTCTTTCTCCTTCTTTGCCTCTTTTGAACAATTTGAATGCCTGTTTAAATCCCTAAGGGGTGTGTTTGTACAACTGGGTTTATTTCATTATGAAGTCTGAAGTCATATTTCAAAAGTCATGATTTATCAGATTTGGCATTGTATCCAGAGTTTGTGTAATTGCTGTCTATCATTAGCTCATTAGAGGGATTAGAGTAACATAAATCCCATTGAATATTCATGAGCACCTGGCTTTCACTGGAGCAGTCATGGTGCAACAGCCTTTCCAACAACATCACACTTTCACAGCGTGACAGAATTACAAAACTCTCTACTAACACTAGCCGCTGTGGGAAAAGAAACATGATAAAGCCTATAAATAACTCTATGACCACGATTCAAAAATATAAATAACTCTGTTCTATCAGATTTGTCACAAAATCATATTTAGATTTAGTGAGTCATTGAATAATTAAAGTGGATTGTACAGTAAATTCCCACTGCAACACAAATTTGTCCAACTTGATTAAAAAAAAAAAAGTGACGTGACATGTGGCCAAGTATGGTGACCCATATTCGGAATTAGTGCTCTGCATTTACCCATCCAAAGTGCACACACACAGCAGTGAACACACACACACCGTGAACACACACCCGGAGCAGTGGGCAGCCATTTTTTTGCTGCGGCGCCCGGGGAGCAGTTGGGGGTTCGGTGCCTTGCTCAAGGGCCCCTCAGTCGTGGTATTGAAGGTGGAAGAGAGCGCTGTACATTCACCCCCCCCACCTACAATCCCTGCCGGTACGAGACTCGAACCCACAACCTTGGGTTACGAGTCCGACTCTCTAACCACGACTTCCCCCTTAGAAAGACCTTGTGGATGTTACTTCTGAAGTGAGTTGGTAAAGAATAAAGCAACTTGCAGCAATTGTGTGCAACAGAGACACAATTACATAACACACACTGAGCCACTTATACCTCTGCTGGCCATAGACTCATCTAACCTGACATGCAAGCAAAAGGCTGAGTCAGCCCGATACTGCTCTGGACAAGTGTGAGACTGTCTGCGCTTTCACCATTCAGACCATTCAGTATTGTTAGTGTGACTTTTTAGAGAAGAGCTGCAGTGCTGAATAGAGACAATTCATCACAAATATGTGAATGCTGCCACATTCTCACAGGAAAAAGCAGTTTAAATGTCTTTGCTGTCATTTTAACCCTTTAACTGTCACCCGTCCCCTCTGTGGGACACCTAAATCAATTGAAAACTTTAAATCTCAAAATTCATCCTTTGAAACCCATTTTAAAATCAAACATTGCATTACCATGAAAATGGTACATCAATATCATGTTACAAAATGTTTTCGTTCATGAATTATAAAAATTTAAGTTTGAATCGTGCACTTTCACGTCTATGTTCAAAAATGTGAGTGACAGTTAAGGGGTTCAGTTAATTTAATGCGTCCGTGCTGGATAAAACTATGATTATTTTAAATGTTTGAATGGTATTTTTATTTTATTTTTTTTATAAAATGTATTCTTTAAAATGTATTTATTGTAAGTTGTCAAAGTGTTTGCTTGTTAATGTGATGAACAATACTTTTAAAGTATTCTCAATTATAATCCAACAAATTCATGCTGTCTAAAAATACAGACTTATGGTGCATTCTCACGTATTTCCTCTCCCATGTGACCAGGCATGAGGCCCTTTATTCCAGATAAGGATGTAGGAGTGTTTGAGACGTTTCTGGAAGACATTGGGATCCGAGAGGGTGGGATTTTGACGGACAGTTTTGGCCGGATCAAGCGGAGCATGAGCAGCACATCTGCCACAGCAGTCCGTGGCTATGATGGCTGGACTCTCCCCTCCGGTTCCCAGGATTTTAACCGCAGAATTGATGACATCACACACAACATTGAGGCTTTAGGCTTTGAGGAGGGGAACGGAGACATAGAAGAGGAAGACTATTATTTGTGAAACACACAGAATGAATTTACATACTGTATGTAAATGTAAGCCACTATATATTTGAACTTTTGCACTGGAGAGTTTTTGAAAACAGGGTTTAGGTCACAAATGTCTTTGATTAAAAATAT